TATATATATATATATATATATATACATATATGCATCAAATCCTAATATATATATATATGTACATATATGCATCAGGGAACTAATACCAGGTGTACAAGTGAAATGACGATTTGAGACAGATGGCACCAATGCAGTGTGAAGTACAAAGATTTAACATTATACGTCATTTTATTGTATCAACAAGTGTCAAACGCGCAAAGTGATTTGATTGAAAAGCGTTTGCATAGTATTGTATTGCTGTGTTTAATATGACGAAATTTGTATCAAATAAGGAGCATTCGCGGACAGCATTAATTTTTTGTTTTGAATTTTTTCATTTGAAGAAAACTGCTGCAGAATCATACCGATTACTTGGAGAAGCTTCTGATGAACATGCTCCATCGCAAAAAACGTGTTAACGATGGTTTCAGCGTTTCAAAATTGGAGATTTCGATGTTGCAGACAAGGAAAATCGCCTAAAAAGTACGAAGACGTGGAATTGCAAGCATTGGATGAAGATGATTCACAAATACAACTCACAAATACAAAAACAACTCGCAGAGCAATTGAGCGTTAGTCAATAAGCTGTTTCCAATCGCCTACGAGAGATGGGAAAGATTCAGAAAGATGAATGCCACATGAATTGAACGAGAGACAGATGGAGAGGTGCAAAAACACATGTGAAATTTTGCTCGAACGATACAGAAGAAAGTCATTCTTGCATCATTACTGGGGATGAAAAGTGGATTTTTTTTTAAAATCCCAAGCGCAAAAAATCATGAGTAAACCAAGGCGCACCATCCACATCGACCGCAAGACCGAATCGCTTTGGCAGGAAGACGATGCTCTGTGTTTGGTGAGACCAGAAGGGTGATCTATGACCTATTATGAGCTATTGAAGCCTGGCGAAACGGTTAATACCAAACGCTATCAACAACAATTGATTAATTTGAACCGTTCGCTTAAAAAACGATCAGAATACCAAAAGAGGCAACACAAGGTCATTTTTCTTCATGACAATGCTCCATCACATACGGCAAAACCAGTTCGGAACACGTTGGAAGCACTCAGCTGGGAAGTTCTACCCCATGTGGCTTACTCATCAGACTTAGCTCCTTCCGATTATCATTTGTTTGCATCGATGGGTCACGCATTTGATGAGCGCTTTGGTTCGTTCACACGAAGATGTGAAAAAATGGTTCGATGAATGGTTCGCGGCAAAAGGGGAAGATTTTTACTGGCGTGGTATCCACAAATTGCCCGAAAGATGGAAAAAATGTGTAACTAGCAATGGAGCGTACTTTGAATAAATCTCTTTTTATCATTCTTCCGAATTTAACGTGTTTTTTTTGGGAAAAAAATCGTCATTTCATACTTGTACACCTGGTATATCTTTTTATTTTTAATTGTTACGTCCAGCCGTTCGTATTTTCAACAAAATTTGCTGTTAATCTGAATTACTCGAAACTACTTTGTTTTCTTTTCGCTTGTGGAATGCGCTGTCTTCATTTTCGCTATTTACAAGTTTTTGCCGGCGCGAGCCAATCATTCGTGCCGCGCGCGTCATTGTACTATAGGACTCGAAATCTATAACGAAGAACTAATAAAATAATTTAGCGGATACATAGACTAATTAAATAGATATAAATCGAGCTACTTGTACGCCGAATTTCAATTTAATGCGACACATATAATTATCGAGGAAATTTTATGCTCATATATATGGTAGTGAGCTAGCCGATTTTCGGAGAAAATCTTTATTTCCCTAGAGATTCTATAATCAAAGTTTGGCGAAACTTCTGATTGGTTCTTTACTTTAGTCTACTGGTATTCTTCGGATAGTTTCGTACATTGTCAAAAAACGAATGCGAAGAAAAGAAACAGATATTACAAACAGATGAATAAAACTTGCATCAAAGAGCTCAAAAATCACTCCGAAATCTCGGACAAAGAAAAACTTAACAAATTAGACAATTCGGCCAATTGATCAACTCAATTGGTTTTTTCAAATATTGTTGTCATGTATTGCCTGTCACGTATTCTAACACTTTTTACGCATGCGTTTATATGAGAAAGCAATATCTGTTATTTCTTTCTATTGCCATTTTTTATTCACATTCACCAAACTCTAATTATAAGATCTCTGTATATCCCGAATCTTGAGTGCCAAGCTATATAAAAGCGGCAAAGGTCAGTAAATTGTCTTTAATCTTTCCATCTCCCTTGAGAGAATACCACGCGCTTTTTCAGCAGCTTGGAATCCATGGACATTTTTGCAAAATACGCAATTTCAATTTCTTCTCTTTGCTTCTTCCTCTTTTCTTCACCTACAAGAAGGTTAACACGAATTATAGCGCTACACTAACTTACTTTTAAATTTGCGAAAGTTAGTGTTATACAAAAAGTATATTTTACAACAATGTTCAACAATTATGCTAACATTTGTCAAATTACTTATTAATTATTTATTTATATATATCGTATCTGCATCTGCAATTAAATTCATAAAAACAATTTTATACTAATAATTCTATACATTTAAGTGTCTCATTGAACTTTTTACAGTACATTAAATAAAGAAACATAGCTCATTTGACTTTGTTAGTCAGATATGCACTCAAACGTAATTTTTTAGTAATAAATCGACAAAATGAAAATTTGAGAAACGGGAAATTAAAAATTTCATGGTTACAATTACTTTGCAAAACATTTGGCAAGTTTTTTGTTAATATATCATCAAACTATCCCAAATTAAAAAAAAATCATGTTTCTAGGTCAATGTTTGTGAGGAAATGTAAGTTTTAGGGTGGACAATTATCCGTTTATCCGAAATAGAAACAGATCCGCGATAGAAATAGAATCCGAGAAAATATCCGATTAAAGCAGATCTTTCGGATCCGAATCTGTGATTTTAAACTGTTTAGATATTCAAAATTCTGAATTGGATTTCAGATTTCTCTCAATATCTTTTTTTACACATACGGGATGTGTGTGTGTGTGTGTGTGTGTGTGTGTGTGTGTGTGTGTGTGTGTGAGTGGAAAGAGAGAAAGAGAGAGAGAGAGAAAAGACAAAAAAACAGTGAGACCGAGAAATAAAGAAAACAAGAAAGCGAGAAAGAAAAACTTTATATATTTAAAATTACACAATAATATAAAAGCTCAATAATTTAAAAAACAAGTTAAAAGAAAAAGAACTACCAGAAATTTTACGTATAAACAAATTGGTAGATAAGTAAAAAAGAAAATGTCTTAATAAATTATTATGAACTTTAATAATATGCCGGCTAACAACAAACGTTTCGATCACGATCGGATCATTATCAATGCGTACAAAATATATCTAAACAATAAAAAACGTAACATAGGTAAAGTCGATCGAAGAAATTTAAACTTTGCATTGTATAATTATAATTGATGTTATCAATAAATTAAAGTGGATCTTGTTGTTAGTTAAAATGAAAAATAACATAAAATATATACATTAGAATTTGTCAGAACAGTAAAAACTTAGCATAAATCGATCGATGACAAATGATAATAAATGGTACACTTCGCAATGTCAAAATATCTAATTGATATATAATTAAAAAGAATTTTCGTCTTATTAGTTAAATTGTACAGCAAAAAAACGGTATATAATTATACATTCGTGTCCAGAACGGAATATAACGTATTACAAATATAAACATAATAATGTAAAATTATAAGGACAGAAATAATATAATCTGATGAGATAGTATAATACTATAATATAAGTGAAAGCTAAAAATGTATAATGTATATCTATCTATTAAATTAAAATAATTTATCTATTAAATTATCTATTAATTTATCTATTAAATTAAAATACTAGTTAAATAAGAAAAATTAAATAAGAAAAATATCTTTCTAATTGTAGTAGAGAGTTCATTAAAAAAAAAAAATTATTAAAATATGAATAAGGCACAATAGATAATGTGATGAGAGAAAGATCGATTTCTCTTATCTTCTCGACGCTATTAGACAAAATAAATTTAAAAATAACTTTCAGAGAAGAAAGATAAAATTAAGTTAGAAAATAGTGGGAAGTGAGATTTAAAAGGAGGGGTATAGATAGAGGAACATAGTAGGGGAAATGTATACAGAGAAAAAAAGATAATTATGAGGGAAAAAGGGGTTATACAATTTGTGAATAGGATTCTAGCAATGATTCAATATCAATTTTGTTTGTTTAAATCTTGTCTCTATCTTTTTATATGAATCCATTTCAGATATCAATTTTTTTTTTGTTATAAGAAGACTCACTATCTAAAATTTTCACATCATTATATCCGAAATTATGAATAAAATTAACGCAATACGGTCGGATATAACAGATGAGAAACCTATTTTTTTATTGATGTTCAATTTTATTGGTGTTCACGTACTCTACTACTTAAACTTAGTTTTCTTTTTGTTTGATCAACGTAGCTAGCGTCACAATCACATAAGATCTTATATACAACATTTTGATTCGAAAGCAATTCTAATTTATCATTATCTCTCTTAATAAAATTTTTTAAAGTGTTCATGATGGAAAAAGCTAACTTTACATGTTAGAGATAGGTAGAAAACTTTCTGAGATAGAATGTACATAGGGAATTGTCAAATATTTTTCTTTAATTTGTAAATTATGTGTAGTATTTTTAGTGTATAAAATTTTAATCTTTTTTTTATTGCAAAAAAAAATAAAGGAGAGAGGATAACTATTTTCAAGAAAAATGTGAATTGCGTCGATCAAATTTTTTTGTTGAAAGCGAGGGTAACAGAATATTTTGTCTAAAAAACTAATGATTGTGTCTCTTTTATGATAGAGAAAGTGATTCAAATGTAAATTGAGGAACCTGCCAAAAA